CAAGCAGCCTTTGCCTTGCCCTCGAATGAGGCCCGGCTCAAAGCCCTGAGCACCTGTGGGTCTCACATCTGTGTCCTCCTGGTCTTCTACATCCCGGGTCTCTTCTCTTTCCTGGCAGACCGATTTGGCCAGAATGTCCCACACCACATCCACGTCATACTGGCCAGCCTCTACCTCCTGCTGCCGCCTATGTTAAACCCTATTGTGTATGGGGTGAAAACCAAACAGATCCGAGAGAAGGTAACGAGGGTCCTCTGCTGGAGGGGAGACTGAGCAGTGGGTGGGGGGGGCGGGTTTTGCCTCCTCACCCTTTCCCATCCATAACAATAGCCTTATTTTGCAGCATCTCTGCATACTGGAGCCATTCTTCACATGCACAAGGCACTTACCAAAACCTATATTCACCTGGACTTGGTGGCCCAGGTAGAGACCCGGACATCAAATACTAGATGGACAATGTTGAACCCTCAGTCCCTGCCCCACAGAGCTTACAAGGTGACAAGGAAACAAGCCAGTGTCATGATTTTCTCAGCAGCACTGTGCTTCGGTTTTTTCCAACTGAATTGCTCTTCCTATCGGTCTGTAAGTGTGTGATCTTGCAATATATATTATTAACGTTCATACCATTTCAGTTACCTCAAGGTTTTCCAATTCCTGCTGCCTGATAGTTGAGTCCTTCTGCCTCATGATGGTGCCTCCCTTGTTATGTTATCAGGGAATTGCTTAAGATCATATTTACTTGTCAGGACAAGGTCACTAATGAAGATAGTAAAGACGATCACTCTCAAGACTGATCCTCAAGAAACCCTACTGATAATCTCTGTTCCTTTTCAGCACAACTTATATTGCATCACCTTTAGGCAGCTCCTACACCCCTCACCATCCTTGTTATAATCGCGGTTTTCTTCTCAATTTGTTTCCCATGTGACACTGTATCAAATCTTTACTGATGTCCACAGAAGTGAGATCTGCCACATGCCCTTTGAATAGAAAGCTGCTTATCTTACCCAAGAAATAAAGCTTAATCTAGCACTGTCTGCTTGGTAAACTGATGTTTTATTTTATCCCATTTTTCCATTTACCTCCATGGTTTTCATTATTCATGCCTCCAAAACGTGTGCTAAAAACATGCACGCTCCTGCGGTCACACGAATGGTCCCACAGGCACCTGGACCACCACGTGTTCTCCCCTTTCCTCAATAACAATAGCACAGTTTTTATTCTTTTATTTGAGGGCCCCACCTCCAGTTTGATCAAGTTATTAAAAAATCTTGTCTGTGGATCTGCAGTTCTGTGTGCTGGTCCTTTCTGTATTCCTGGAGGATGATTATCTCCTCCCCCTGACTTGAGTCTTGCTCAGACGTTAGGTGTGTCACTGCCATTTCCCCGCAGGTGGGCTGTGCAGCCACAGGCACCAGAGTGCTGCGGTCCCTCTCCCAGGGAGAGCAGAGGATGACACAGGCACAAGGTTATACGGGGTATCCAATGATGAGATTACCATAAAAGCACTTCAGAGACTTCATGGAAAATGATAATCAATGAGATGCTTGATACAGAGGAATGTCTGAGAAGGATGTGTCGTTGGGATCGGGACCATGTTAAAGACACCAACAGTTTCTCTCTTGCAAGCGTGCATGGTTTCGGCTCTTGTTTCTTCCTCTGTGCTGCCTGCACTGTCCTTGCAGCACCCTCTCCTCCCATCCGAGCCCTTTCGCTGCAGTCCCCATCATGCTGTGTTCACGTATTTTGCTCCCTCCCCGTTATCTCTAAGGGCCGTGTAACACGCTACATTTAGGGTGTGTTTCCTTTAGAGCATCTCTGTGACTTAGAAAGTTTTCTGAGTCACACGGTAACGCTTGCGACGATCTAAATATAAATATAACGATCTAAGTCCTAAGCACCGTAGCCCTGGAAGATGCCGGTATGCTGCAGTCTGCTACAGGGGCTGGGATCAACAAGCAGCTATTCAGTGGTCCCAGTCTCCTAATGGCATGACCTCTATGGAGCAGCTGGATACAAGCTCAGCAAGGGCTCTTGGGCACTGATTTTTCAATTATTCTTTAATGACTTGGTCCAAAATGTAGTGATGAGCTGCTGAAATGTGCACATCAGATCCCGTTATTTATGCCACCCAGAATGAGGCCATACCATACATAGAGAAGCAGATGATCTGGACGGTTGAAGCACTCACTCAAATCAGGATGAAATTGGTTAATCCAGTAGGCAAAGTCATGCATCTCAGACTTTGCCACTTTGCCTAAGTCATGCATCTCAGAGCCACTTAGAAGAAATTGCACTATAAGCTGGAAGATATAGGATGTGTAGGAGGGGATGAACGTACTAAGTGGTTACAGCATGACCGCAAGCCAACACGGTCTTGAAGTGGTGGACTGTTATAAATGTACTCTTTTTATTAATGTCTTGTTGTGTTTCCTGAGTAGGGCGTGTCTACTGTCCTTATTAACCAGATATTAATGAACTTGCTCCTGAAGACCTCAGAGAGTAGCATGACCCTGAAGAGCATCCCCCGGAAATACGTTCAGATGGCCTTCATGTGGTCCAGCTGCAGTATCCATACTGGAAGAAACCCGCCACCCCGGAGCAAGTGAAGTCCTGGTCTCTGAGTAGAAGAAACAGGATACTTGACTGGCAAGGTGGTAACTGTCAGTGCACCTGTGGCACCAGTTATTATCTTGGGTTCATTCCCTACCTGAAGGCTGGAATGGCTAACTGTGGGAGGAGAGGTAATTGTTGTAGCTCTGCTCGTTTGGGGATTTGTTGTTACATACTTCCTGAGGGAAGCCCCGTTGAGCTGAACATCCCTGAGTTTGTGTTCCCAATAGTGCATTCTGCATCTGTTCAGCCTCTCGAGCCACTGCATTTATGGGAGAATCTGCCCCTCCCATCCCTATGGCTGACAACACTCTCCAGCAATGGTGTGAGGCCCACCAGGTAGGAGAGTGCATTACAGGTTGGAACAAAGTTATTACATGGTTTGTGAATCATACCTACACAGAGGCATGGTGGGATGGTACCCACCAACCAGAAATAGGCTGTATCCGCAAGTCTCCACCACTTATCCTCATCCTTTTATACCTGTAACGTTCCTAATGCAAATTAGTGCTATGATTCTTCCTGGACAATGCCGTTTCATTAACCTGATACAGCATCGTCCCCATGAGCGACAGTGGGAGCCCTTTCACTCTCTGGGAAGTGAAGCATGGTTACAGGCTCCCAAAGAAGGAAGGATAAATGTGATCTGTGAGAAAATGGGGTGTTCGCTACTATCTCTGGCCGTTCCCCCATTGGAGGCCCCGACACCACCTGTGTATAACCCTGGTGGAGGTCACAAGTTAAAATACCAACCTACCTAACATGACCTGCGTATACGACTTACCTAATGTGTCATATGTAACAATAAGGCAATGTGTTTGTTAAAAAAAACCAGGTCGTTTGCTGCATGAAAATGGTACCACCTGGACTTTAGGCAATTCGTGTTGCTTAGAAGCTAAAAGTGGAGCCGTTGCTCTACTGCAATTAAGTAACCGTACTATTGCCCTAAAATGGCCAGAAATTTCCTCTGAGACTATACCTGTCAACTTTACGATACCCACTTCATGGGTTTCAGATGTAAACATGCCAAGTTAAAAAACTGGAATAAAGTAAAAAAATAATCTGCAAAGTCTTGAGACAAAAGCTTGGCAAGGTACTCATTTGGCTCCCCTTGCTTGAGAGGGTGGGCGAATTATCAGTCCGACTGTCAACGTGCCCGAGCCTTGTAAATGGTATGATGTAATGTGTACTATTCGTGTGTCACCAAGTGTCACCTCAACTACATGGCTAACCATCTTGAGCATCACAGTATTCTGCATTGCCCTAGTGGCAACAGCTAACTAGTGTTTTAATCGTTGTTGTTGTACATCTGTTCATGCTATGCAAGTTAAATTTATAGATCCCTCCCCATTTCCTGATGTAGAGCATGTGTTTTTAGCCTTTTAATTGTAGCTACCATGGTGCTTCAGCAAGCAAGGGGTGGAGTGTGACAGCTGAAAAGTGTGCCTGTGTGATAAAGGTGCTTCGTAAAGGCTCTGTGAAAATAATACCAAGTGTTTTTCTGTATTTGTTTAGATATTAAGCTGTATGTTGTTGCTAAAATCCTAATTTAAGTTTAAGATGGAGTGAGGCCTTGTATAAAGTAAGGCCTAATAAAATTAGCAAAGCCTTGAAGTAGTAAGGTCCTGTGGCACAGTTAAAATTACATTATCAAAGAAATGCAAGGCTTGTACTGCTAATTGGTGAGTCTAATGACAGGTGAAGTAAAAGGAATCTGAGTGTTTGTTCGTTATCAGTATCATTCAGAGGCTCTAAATGAGCTGGAATATTTGGAAACCATTCAGAAGGAAGAGACAGCTCTGTGAAAATAATTAGTTAGCTGTTGTCTGGATCAGTGGGCCCGTGGACCTCGAAGAGCCCAAGAACTGCATCCCAGGGTCCTTCCTGGTACTCCTTTGAACAGTGTCGTTCGGGGACGCCTGACTTCGTTGAACTTTGTGGAAAGAGAAGTTTGCTGTGTACCAGGCATCAGAGGGGACTGCCAATAAGTTGCCGACACTAACTGCTTTTGTCTGTAATTGTTTGTTTTGTTACTACGCGTAGTTGTGTTTTTGTTAAGTCAATAAATCTTTCTTACCTTTCTACCCCCGACCATACTCTCAATCCCTAACCCTCTGCAGGCAGCTGGGACAGAGGCCACTTGCCTACTTGATCAGAGCAGGTGTGTCTATACTCCAACGACTTGGGAACTGCAGCTGCCATCTGTTGCCATCATTTCTGCTGGTGGAACCGGGTAGATTTAGGCAAGGCCTATATCAGTAGTGACATGATGCCATGGGACGGAGACGGTGAGGGAGCATTTATAGACAGCTGACATTAGCGTTAGATGGAAAGGGGTCGAGCTTCATCTGAAGCCTGACATGCAAGGGTCTAGCAGGGTCAAGAGGTCAGTGCTTGGAAGAGCTGCTCTTGAGCCACAACACTTCCCGCACCCGCCGCCGGATCTGCTTGGTGTTCACACCGTTTCAGCAGCGGGGGCACCAGGAGGTAGAGGTTGGAGAGGAGGATGTGGATGTAGGGGGCCACGTGGTGCCCAAAGCGGTGCGTGAAAAAGGAGAAGAAGCCTAGGATGTAAAACTCGAGAAAGACACAGATGTGGGCGGTGCAGGTATGGAAAGCCTTGAGACGTGCATCCTTCTGCGGCAGCATGAAGATGGCCCTGAAGATCAGGACATAAGACACAGCGATGAAGATTATGTCAACGCCCAGGATTGTGAAAGCTACAAAGAGGCCGTAAGCTTTGTTGATCCTGATGTCAACAGCTGCCAGCTTCACCACAGCCATGTGCTCGCAGTAGGAGTGGGAGATGATGGTGCTCTTGTAGAACTGCAATCTCTTAATCAGAAAAGCACACGGAGCATTCAAGATGGTTGGCCTGATTACAATGGCAAGCCCCAGTTTGCACAAGAAATGGTCAGTTAGGATGCTTGAATATCTCAGGGGATTGCAGACTGCCATGTACCTGTCAAAGGCCATTGCCAACAACACCCCTGACTCCATAGCCTGGAAAGTGTGGATAAAGAACATCTGGACTAAGCAGGCATTGAAACCAATGTCGCTGGATCCAAACCAGAAATTGCCCAGAATTGTAGGCATTATGCAAGTGGATAAACCTAGGTCTGTCACAGCTAACATAGCCAGGAAGATATACATGGGGCTATGGAGGCTGTGCTCTGTTTTGATAACTGCCAGAAGGAGCAGGTTGCCTAGTATAGCGAGTACGTACATGACACAGAAAGGGAGAGCGATCCAGAACTGCACGCCTTCCAGGCCTGGAATCCCAAGCAGCGTGAGCGTGGAGGGGTTGAAGTACACCTCGGTGAGGTTTGGAGCTGGCATGGCACTCTGCTGCAATCCAGGCTATCCAGAAAGGTTTGCTTTTCCTGGCTGTGAGAAAGCAATGAGAGAACAGTCAGTTAGGTTTTATCGTGAAAAGAGATTTTCAGTGTGGTGCACATGGGAGGTGGCCTGGCCTCGGTCTCCTCAAGATGTGGGAAATGGATGAGGACTTGTAGGTGAACACATGCCTTTTGGTTACTCAACTGGAGTGAAAACTTGGTGGAATTTAATAGGGGCTGAAGGGTCTCAGGGAACGGAGACTGCAACAGCTTACGACATTCAGACAGTGGCCAGTACCAATTGCAAAGAATCTCTCTTCGACGTGTAAGAAATCATCTTCCCACTCAAGAAGTCTCTTCCCAACAACCCTCAGATAGAGGTATCTCAGGCCTGGAAGCAAAATTAGCTTCTCTAACAGGTCTAATGTTTTATCCAATCTAAGGGAATGGGGACACGCAACAGGTCTAATGTTTTATCCAATCTAAGGGAATGGAGACATGTGACAGGTCTAATGTTTTATCCAAAATAAGGGAATGGAGACGCACAACAGGTCCGATGTTTTATCCAATCTAAGGGAATGGAGACATGTGACAGGTCCAATGTTTTATCCAAAATAAGGGAATGGAGACGCACAACAGGTCTAATGTTTTATCCAATCTAAGGGAATGGAGACACGCAACAGGTCTAATGTTTTATCCAATCTAAGGGAATGGAGACACACAACACGTCTAATGTTTTATCCAATCTAAGGGAATGGAGACACACAACACGTCTAATGTTTTATCCAATCTAAGGGAATGGAGACACACAACACGTCTAATGTTTTATCCAATCTAAGGGAATGGAGACACACAACACGTCTAATGTTTTATCCAATCTAAGGGAATGGAGACACACAACACGTCTAATGTTTTATCCAATCTAAGGGAATGGAGACACACAACACGTCTAATGTTTTATCCAATCTAAGGGAATGGAGACACACAACACGTCTAATGTTTTATCCAATCTAAGGGAATGGAGACACACAACACGTCTAATGTTTTATCCAATCTAAGGGAATGGAGACACACAACACGTCTAATGTTTTATCCAATCTAAGGGAATGGAGACACACAACACGTCTAATGTTTTATCCAATCTAAGGGAATGGAGACACACAACAGGTCCAATGTTATATCCAAAATAAGGGAATGGAGACGTACAACAGGTCTAATGTTTTATCCAATCTAAGGGAATGGAGACACGCAACAGGTCCAATGTTATATCCAATCTAAGGGAATGGAGACATGTGACAGGTCTAATGTTTTATCCAATCTAAGGGAATGGAGACACGCAACAGGTCTAATGTTTTATCCTATCTAAGGGAATGGAGACATGCAACCCTTAGAGCAGTTTTAATGTGTTTTCAATCCGAAGTGAAAAGAAACCCAAGCCTTTTAAAATCAGTTCAATCCACCTGGAACTGTTTCAAGGTATACTGGGACAATCAGGAGAATGTGGACAGGCATGACACTTAAGTTGGTTGAAATGAAGTTTAAAATGCAAAAACCTAGATGTACAAGCTAGTTTAGAAGTGATTGAAACCCCCGAACCGGTGCAGAAGGGTGCCTGGAGAATCAAGTGGGATTTTGAACCAGGTATGCAAAAGAAAATTGCAATTGGACTGGGTGCTCACTACCGTCCCCTGAGGGCAGTTCGAGGGCACAACCAGGTATAAAAGTTGATCAAATCATAGGGAAGTGGGGCTGGAAGGGACCTCCAGGGGAGTCATGTCTAGTCCAACCCTTGCCTGAGGCAGGATCAGCCCTGTCCAAACCATCCCCGATGCATCCATTGTCTGACCTCTTAGCAAAACTACAATCCGTAGCAAAAGCACACAAAAGACATCACATCCAAATGTGCCACACATAAAGCAGGGTGGCCATGGCAGCCAATGTCCTGCTGCTTTAGAAGTTGTTGATATACACTCAAGAGAGTCCAAGGAGAGTCCATGCTCCCTGCTACCGATGAAGGCCCCCCACCCCAGTCCGTACTATTCTGACCAGGGGGAAAATTCCTACCTGATCCCAAATATGACTGTTTTATTTAGCCATACACATGTGGGAGAATTGTGAACCACTTTCCAATCAGTGTCATTCCCAGACCGGTTCAAGTGTGATGTCTGTTGACACCCTCAAGGGGTGAGTTGACCTCCCTTGCTGTGGACTGGTCACTGAGCTCCCTTGCCCCACTTGCCCAATAGCAGCAAGCTTTCTAATGGCCAGCTGTGAACTCACGCTCTACTCAACTGCGACCCCTCATCCTATTCCCCCTGGGCACCAGAAACGTGGGTCCAAGCCCTC